TTACAAATATAATAACTCGCAACTGTGTATGTTTCCATATCAGTTAGATAACGGAATTTATGGTGGTTTATAATTCTATATTGTATTATACTAGAGCACTACATATCAATTCTAGTGAGAATTCGTTTGGTGCTTACTTTGTGATCTTACAATTTACTTTGTGCCAGTATGTTTTAATTCATTACTTGTGTTATTTCATGAATATGGCTTTTTAACAAGGTTATTTCAGCCAGTCTATAACAACCCTAGCGTTGTTCAGAAAAAATGGCCTGATTTATTTTTGCTGGCATACATGTAATTTCCGATGTTTATCTATGGATAAATTATGAACGTTAATTCAATGAAAATAACAAATTGATTTCTTTTTATGTTTTTTTTTTTTTTTTTTTAGCGAGTGCATTAGCTAGGGTTTCATCTTTTTGAGCGTAAGGTTTCGTCATTGTCATTTTAAGTTTGAGGTTTCATCTTTCGTCAGGAGAATTTGGGTTTTCGACTCTCTTCAGAAATTTGTTTTTTGGGAGTTTAGGTTTCGTCTTTCATCATCATGTGTGCGTAAAAGGTTTCGTCTAACAACTATAGGCACGACATAAATACTGGAACAAATCAACACCTAAGCCTCCACCACCGACCTAGTTGGTGGTAGAATTCAAAAAAAGGAAATCCCAACAATGAAAATGATCAGCAATTATTGACATTCCAACCACGTATGCTCACAATATCTGATATCTTGTGGCTCAGATCACGTAACGCTGTCGTTGCTACCACATCACAGCTCCGTCACGGTTAGAGTTCCAAACCGTGACAATACAGATTAATGGGAATAATTTTATTGCTATTCTGCTAATCTGAAATTGAAAAAAAAAAGTAGAATGCTGTGCTTATTTTCCACATTTTACGGTAAGATAAAATCGTTTGTTATATGGGTATTACAAAATTAGTCAACCACATAAATGTTTCTACCACAGTAATACTGGCATATAAAAATATTTATCGAATTTTATTATAAATAAACCGTTCTTTTTTAGTTCGGGATTAGTTGGCTGTACGGAATTGGACTATGTCCCAATAAATAAATAATAAAATTTGAACATTGCCTAATGCCAATGGTTCCAATATCTATTTAACTTTTTTTAATTAGTCTAAATTCCAATAATCAATAATCGAATAAAATATTATTGATCATTGTCCAATGATAACACTGTTTACATTCGTGCTAATAGACACTTTCGTACTTTCGTGCTAAATAAATTACAACTCCTGATCATCACCTACTAATTTACATTACAATGTATCATGAAGACCCGATGATCACACATTGATATTAAATTCAAACCATAAATTAGTCTGTTTAACTCCGGAAATTAACATAAATAGTCGAATTGTATGGTCACCGTGTATAATAAAGGAGATTGCTCAATTTTTAATATTGTTAAGTAGTTTTAAATAAACTTTCGCACGTACTTTGTATAAAATGTATTGAATATTAATATTGAATTAATAATGACGACAAAATGGTCATTAAGTAACGAATTTTCAACAATATATAACCCTTCTTCGGTATGGTCATATGGTTACAGCAAGTCGTTACTGGGACATTTTTCTTATTTAATCATTCAGATAAAGATCCGAAAGGTACTGGAATAGTTGCGTGGTTTCCACAAAATATTACATGGAATCAAACTTGGTTAGGTGTATATTATAACCCTAATTCAGCAATTACCATTTTGGAGTACGCCAAGTAATATGACATATAATTCTCATAGTGTCGGCATGCATCCAGACGATTTAGTTGGTACACCATCTGTTGTGAGGTTTACTGCGCCAAAAGATGGAAACTATACTCTTAGTTTAAAATTCACACATGTCGATGATCATGTAAATAATAGTCGACGTACAGGTGTTTATATAATGCATAATGACCGTGACTCACTTTGGCAAGAAGAATTAGTTGGTCTCGGAGCTTCAAAATCATACAATTCGCCTGATGGTGGGATCAATATCAAAACAAATGATACAATCGATTTCATTGTAGGCCAGAGTTTAATTGGAAATGTTTTTGAAAATATTAATTTCGTTACGACTCTTGTTGCTGCTGACATCAATTTGTTAACAAATAATACAACAACCCAACCAAATCAAATAAACAATTCGAGCCAATCAAGTCAATCAAATGAAAAATTTATAATTATTGCTTTGGCAATAACATCAATAACATTAGAATTAATTATCACTGCTATTATAATTTGCTTTACAAAAAAATGGTTCAAAAATAGGTCACGTAATCAAAGTGCACATGAAGATAACCTTCTTTATTTTCTTTACAAAAAATATTACAAAAACAGATCACGTAATCAAAGTGCACATGGAGATACGAGTAGAGAGGAACCTATATAAATGCATTTCAAAATCTGATACAAATTATGCTTGATCTCATAAATTCAATTTTTTTGTTTTCAAAAAAACATACTGTATTATTAAAAGATTGGTGCATTTAAAGGGGTCTCTGTATAACTAACACTCTAGAAAATTACTATGGAATAGTATTATAACAATCTGGTATCAACATAAATAAACTAAATTATTTATTATAACTTCATGGCTTAAAGTTTAGATTTAAATTCTTATATTAGTTTTAAAATTTTTAAAGCATTTTTATATGTACAATATTTTTTTTCTTTATAATACAGAGAACATATAATATACTGTGGTTAACATTTTAAAAAATGAATCTTCATTTCAATCTTTATTTAATATTAAATAATCATTGTTACATAGTGTAATTAATATTGGTCATTACAGGCTTTTAACTAGAGCTAGTATATATATTATTTAATGCAATGTCTTTATCAGAAACGAAAAGATATGTAAGTTATGCTACAAATGAAGTATAGTACATTTGCAGAATCTTACATTCATTAGAAAATGTATGATATAAAATGAGAGTATGAAAACAACTCCACACGGTTTATAGTACAGTATTTCTTCAAAGCTACAGAATCGACCTAGAAATAATATTTAGAAGGACAATATATGTTTAATATATAGTATATAGTATAAATTCTAATGGCGTAAGACAATATTTAATGATATTGTAGGTTTCAAAAAATCGCGTTTTCAGAACACCAACTAAACTGCAGGTCACACCATATGGGGCGGTGTCAATTAAAAGGGGCTTATGGCATTTTTTGCAAAAATGAGTTAACTATACTATCATATAAAGCAGGTATTCTTCTATGTAATTTGATATTTAAAATATCGATTTACATAAAATTTTTTCCAACGCCTTTTAAATGCCATATACGATTTAGATGATATCGATATCTAAAATTAGAATTTAGAAATCCAGTTGTCGATCCTTGCTGCGGAGTCATAGAAAAGCTTTCATGTGATTGGCTAATTTATGAGGTTCTACTAATAATAGATTGTCGTTGTTATTGTTACACCAAATTAGTAGATTCTTATATATTTTATTGAATTAACTTTCGGGTTAGGGTTATCTTAGATTAAGGTTAGACTATGTTTTATTATTTACATATATGCAAAATTGCCTTCCAATCATTTTTATTTAACTTACCCAAGACTGCCGTTTTTTGTATTTTTTCACTTTTTCTCTTGTTTTGCTTCGCCGGCGATCGTCAAGATTCTATAATTTGATCGTTATGATTCTGCTCTGCTTTAGACGACTCCAAATTTGAAATGCGATTTTCTCAAAATGGAAAAGAAGCCATAAGCCTCCTTTTAATTGACGCCACCCCATATGACTAACGTACGTACAAATTTATGCACCATTTGATATAAACACAATGAAAAAGGGGAAATTGTTTTACACAAATCAATTTATTTCACTTAAAACTCAAAAACATTTGTATTAATAAAATTTTGTAGCATATATGGCTCTTTAAAGTTTGTATTTCATTTTATATCGGCTGACTAATATAAAATTTTTAAAATAACCATCTTTGTCATAAAAATGGATTATGATGATAAATTTCGCTATAAGATACCATATTCGTAAGTTATATATAAAAAAGGAGATAGCTACAGTATTTTAATACCAAATTTGTGATTACAAATATAATAACTCGCAACTGTGTATGTTTCCATATCAGTTAGATAACGGAATTTATGGTGGTTTATAATTCTGCGGAACATTTTTCAATAATGAAAATGACCATGGGAATACATATACCAGATTTTAAGAATTAAGCAAATTCATATCATGATATTTAATATACTAAAGTATTATTGTTAAGTAACAAACAACTGCCAATAGGGAAAAATGTGTATCCGATGTTTGTTTATCAGGAGTTGTTGCTATGCTACCATACACAAAAAAAAATTACAATGATAACGATAATAGAATTCCTTTTTAGTTAAAAACAAAATACGGTATATAGTTAGTTCATTTATTCCTTTTAACGTGGATTATAAATTTAGTTATATGTGTGCAGTTAATTCTTTATAAAGACAAACTCCTCTTTCCGTTACCAAATTTTTATTTTTTTTTTTGGATTTAAAAAAAAAAAAGGAAACAAGCAGGTCAACAAAAGAAATAAAATGAGTGAAAATTCATTAACGTTAACGAACAGAGAAAATGATATTTCAAACTCAATCACTTACATTAAATCCACATTTAATGTTGACCTTTGCTTTGTCTTAGATTGCACTAACTCTATGGATGAGCACATTGCTGCTGCGAAAGACCATATATTAAGAGTGTCAAATTATGTGAAAAATTTTAACTCTGATGTTAAACTTTGGTTTGGTTTCTGTGGTTATCGTGACCATTGCGACGGCCGTAACCGTCTACAAATTCTTGACTTTACTAACTCTCATGAAGAATTTAAATTGTATATAACCAAAGTGAAAGCTAAAGGTGGAAAAGATATCCCAGAAGATGTCTTGGGAGGTCTTAATGCTGCAATAACTTCTATGACTTGGAAAAATGGCACTCGTGTACTTATTCATATTGGTGATGCCCCACCACATGGCCGTCGTTTTAATAAAGAAATGGATGAATATCCAAAAGGTGATCCATATGGTTTGACTGCCGAAAAAGTATTTGAAAAAATGCAATCGAAAAATATTCTATATCATTTTGGAAAGATTAATGATTCTACTGATGTTATGATTAACATATTTCGTAAAATAATCGGTGAGTTTCCTGTATTTGACCTCAAAACTACAGGTGATGATAATCCGGGTATATTACTTAACAAATTTTGTGAGGCTACTTGTTCTGTCATAATTTCTTCTGTTTTACTTACTACTACTGTAAGAAACACCGAAAATTTTTATTCTTTACAACGAAAAAGACTTCAAATTAATCCACTTGAACCCGATTGGGCAACTCTTTCAGAAAATTCTGGTGAACTTTTATATTATACTTTGCCTAAATCTCTTGATGAAATTAAGGATAAATATTTTTTTATCAATTCAAATTTTACTACACAACATATCTCGTTCAAACTTGCCCCACAACCATTTTCTGTTGGTGCTGAACGGTATGCATATTTTGCTATTCACACTGACTCTGAGCAAAACGAAAAATTAGTTATAAAAAAATATCATGATGATAAACCGGATTCTAAAAAACGGTACTTAGAGTCGGTGGAGGCTTCTAACATTGCTCAATTTCTTTCATCAGAATTTAATTCGGCCGCAGAACAAAATGGAATTAAATGGAAAGTGAAATTTATTGATGCAAATATTTTATGTAGTAAGTCTGATTCTGGTACCTTATATTATTCTATAGAGAATTATTTCTCTAATGCAAAGTTTCAGCGATTCAACACAAATAGTGGTATTATTACAGACTTTCATTCAGCTCTTGAAGCATTTGCTCATTTCACTTATCAGTACACAAAGGGATATTTAGTAGTTTATGATTTACAAGGTGTTAATCTTGATAAAAATAAAGAATTCTTATTAACAGATCCGGCAATACATTGTATTGATGTATCAAGATTCGGTGTAACGAATTTCGGTGAGAAAGGAATTAAGGAATTTTTTTTAGCGAAACACAAGTGCAATCATATTTGTAAAAAGTTAAATTTAAATCTAATTTAATTATTAATTATGCTGGTACTGATATTATATTTAAAATACGTACCTATATATTGTGTAAATATTAGAGCTTGGAAGCGGTTTTATTTTTCATATGTTAAAACTGATTAAAACCGATTTTATCATATGAAAAATAAAATCGCTTCCAAACTCTAGTAAATACCGTACGTATATGGCATTAAATTTGCCTATTATGCACTGTGTATACTGTTATGAATCTATATAAGATATATATATTAACAAACAATAAAGTATTTATAAAGTTAAATAATTAGCTGTTATTAACCGTTGCAAGATTATTTCTCTTGATTTACGAAATTATTATTAAAGTACACAATATAATGATAAACAAAATTTTTTATTTAAAATCTTATTTTTATGTTGAAGTTGCCCTTGCTTGGAGTTGTTATTTCAGGCATCCAAGAAACTAGATCGCAACGCTTACATTAGTTTATAGTATTTTAAATCATGTCAATATCGATTGAAAGAACGATACGAATAATGTCAATCTTGTTGAATAGCAATCCAAAAATATGCTACCAAAACACGTTCAATTTAGCCCAACCAGAAATTTTGAATATTTATTTCAAAATAATCTTGTTATATATTATACGATCAAATTACCTGATATGACTATTAATTAAAGTTTCGCTTCTGTCTCATCATCTACCGCTAAGATTACAATTGAACACTGTTAACTAATATCAGCGTATATTTCATTTTCAGCGATCGATTATATTAATGTTACTATTAAATATTTACATAAGCTAAATTATTAATTGAAATATAAACCTGTTTCCACAACATATTCTCAATAAATATAATAATTAAACTGCAAATGAAGTATGAAAGTCCATCTACTCATTTGCATTAACACTTGCATAAACTCAATCATTGATAAAGCTCTCACGTTCTATGCAGTCTTAAATTTACAAGCAAAATCATTGATTAAGCCGAGCTATGATTTTGTTATACATCATATCAAATCAACAACATTGCAGTTGTGAGCTGTGTTTAAAATTTGATGTTCACAGTGCTCTCAAAGAACACTAAACAATTTTTGAGACCATAAATTATTAAAATATGTTCTCTATTTGAGAACATTAGACAAATTCTTTTAATATTAACTTTCTTATGTAGAGAATATTAAAAATTTTTTGAGAACATTAAAACTTAAAAAATGCTATTTTTGAGAATTTAAAATAAATTTTATACACTGGTTGTGAGCAGTGTTGGAAATCTCATGTTATCATGTTCTCATGAGAACATACCTTTAGATTTGAGAACATTTGATATTCTGTAAATGTTCTCTATGGAAAAAAAATTTTGAGATCATAATACTCGAAAAATATGTACTCGAAAAATATGTTCTCTATACAGTCATCCCCTCTACAATCACCCCACTATAATCACATCATATAAAAACCCCTATTTATCACATTCTATACTCAAAAACAAATTACTATTAAACATATAAAAAACTACCTCTATATAAGCACAACCTCTTT